GGAGTTGGCCAGACATTTTCTCAGCCTTCAGGAACAGGAATTGACCTAGGCTTCTTTGAGTTGGATGATCTTTCAAAGCCCTCACCTGGAGAAGATGTCTTTCCTCTTGTAATATGTGCTGAAACCAGTTTGAAAACACCCTCAGCAGATGAAACTCCGGGTGATTCCATGCTAGATGCATCCCCTCACATGCAAATAACTCAAGGTGTCTTAGAGAAAAGTAATGGTGCTGGTCCTTTTCTGATAAAAGTAGTAAGGCAGATTTTGTGGATTGACGGTGTTCGATATGAGTTGAGAGAGTTATATGGAATAGGAAGTTCATCTGCAGCTGATTTTGATGACAATGATCCTGGAAAGGAGTGTGTCATATGCATGACTGAACCAAAGGATACGGCTGTATTACCTTGTCGACATATGGTAAGATTTAATTTGAAATGTGCTTATATTTGGACTAGATAACCAGTTTAAAGGAAGAAATTAAGGTATTAGCATTTGTATTTGTTCATGCAGATAATAGAAGTTATGGTCCATACAAATACATAGCCCTGAGTAATAGCATAATTTGTATTTCCATGAGATTGCATATAGATAACTGAGCTCATTGGTGGTATCCCTAATAGGGTGAATGGGTGTTCTGTGATCCTTATTTTTAATTTTCTTTCCTTCCACTCTAGCCTCCCCCTTAATTTATTTTCAAGGTTATGAGATTGTGACTATGTGATCATGCATATATTGATTAAAATCATAGATCAAAATTTCAGCACTTGCATATATATTGTGGGTGAAATGGATATTTAGTGTTTTGGTTTCTTCCTGACTAGTAGCAACCAGCATACTAATTGCTCGATAGTAAGATCTTTACAGGTAGCAGCTATATCAAACCATGTTTGTGTATTTTATCTTACAAAATAGCCAAGTTTGGATTAGCTTCTAGTAACTTATGACAGCTTTTAAATTGTAAAACCCTATATTTAGGAAGATGACAAGGTAAGAAGGTCAAGTTATGCCAAGTTCATAGGTGCTTGTAGAAAAGTTAGAAGAGAGCACTTTTGAAATTTTTAATTTGTATGTGTTAATTCATACAAAAAGATTAATTCATTTTATGCTTCCATAAGTAGCTGATTAAGAAATTTATCCAAATTAATTCTGTATTCATATTCTAATTTGACTTTTTATTTGGGCAGCCAAAATAAAGTTTATTTAATAAGGGTTAAGGGTTACCGCAACCTTTCATCACGATTAATATCAACCTTCCATCAGTACTTAGATCCACATAACATACGCACCCCTACCTGCATCACTAAATAGAATGTATATATTTGTATTGATTTTTCTCATAGTACTTTGTTATGTTTTTCCAGTGTATGTGCAGTGAGTGTGCAAAAGCTCTGCGACTTCAATCCAATAAATGCCCTATATGCCGTCAGTCTATTGAGGAACTTATAGAGATCAAAGTAAACAATGACAATCAATGAGATTTTTCTTCTGATGCTTAGTTGCATGATATTGTCAATAAATTCCTTTTATGAAAATTCACTCCCTTCTTACATGTTTGCAGTCAAGTAATATAAGATTTTTTTTTTTCTTTTTGTAAATTTTAATCAATAAGCTGTTTATAGTTTTTGTGATGTGTTTAGATAGTCAGTGATTGAATGTTTCCATGTCATCTATATTGTGCAGGTAATCATTTTTCCGGTGTTTGCCTTAACGGTGTTTGCCGTCACTATTATTAATAATATTAATGTCAATTATTATTGTCGTCTTTTTCACTGTTGGTACCACAATTACTATCGTTGTTATTTCTACAACCACTCTCATTGCTTCTCTTGCTTAAGAAAATTCAAGACACAAATTTGACCCTTACTTATAAGGTTTTTAGATTGAATTTGGTATTTTTAAAAGTCAAACTTTCCTCATTCTATTTAAAAATATTAAAAACTGATTTTATGCTTAAGCTTTTAGGTAAGTTTACTTAAATAGGCTAATAAATTAATACACTAATGGAAAATTTTGGAAAATAAAACGTAAAAATTTTGGAAACAAAAACCACTATAACTCGACACAAGATAGAGATAGAATGTATGCTATAATTTGTAATAATTAAGTTTAATTAGTTTATATACTAATTTATTGAGGACAAAAAATATTTAGACCCTAATTTTGATGTTTAACAAATAAAAGTATTATTTTAAAATGTAGATAAATAAGTTTGTTTGATAATAAGATAGTTTCATCTATTGCTCAAGCTTCATGATATTGATATTGAGATTACGTTTGAATATATTTTGATAATCTAATAGATATATTATATTATATATTGTGTTACAATAAATATGAATGTTAATAATATTATTTTTATATAGATTATTGATGTTTAAAATTGAAAAAAAAAATAATGTAAATAATTTTCTTAATTTTATATAATTTATATCAAAATAATATTTTTATTCATAAATAATTTTTGTAAATAATTATCTTTTGACGTCTTTAACTGTTTATGTGAACACAAGTCAATGATTTTTTTTTTTAACTCATGGCATAAATATCACTGTGAGCAAAGGTGGATTTACGGGCCAGCTGTGATTACGATCCCACTATATTTTTTTATTTAAGAAAGCATTTTTAAAATATAAATAATTTTTTTATCTTTTGCTTATAATAAACATTATATTTATTTCTTTTACGTAATTTTTCATTTATACATTTTTTTTATCTGACTTTTATATTTTTCTCTCAGATTTTTTCTTTTCTCATTATTACTTTTTATACATGTTATCACTTTACATTTAATATCATATTCTTCTGTTTCATAATTTTCGCATAAAAAATATTTTTTTTATTATTCACTTTGAAAACATTTTTTATGTTAGAGAAAAATAAAAAATTAATATATAAAAATAATATTCTATAATAATTTTTTTAAGTAAAGAAATAATAATCAAATTTAGTTTTTCTTATTATATTTTATTTTTTATTGTAATAAATAAAATATAAAATATTAATATGATTTTTTTATTTACTATAAATTAATTAGTTATTGTAATGTTCTATTAAATGTGAAAAAAAGGTTAAATTTTAGAAATATTTAAAAAGAAGATTGTAAACTTATTTTAAAAAAATATAAATAATAATAAAATAAAATTTACTTTTTATAATTTAAATTTAATAATTTAATAGATAATATTAAATATGTTGTTAAATATTTTATATAATATATTTATTTTTATATGATAATTAATTTATATATATATATATATATATATATATATTTATTGATCTCTTAATTAAAAAAAATTATAATATAAGAAAGACATTAAAACTAAAATGGTTTAAGATTTCATTATAGAGAAAATGTTATTTTTTGGGTCATAATAAATAGATTAGTAGTTTGGTTATTTTCTATGTAAACAATGAGATTGAAATCTGACATCTCATGGGAACATTAAGTTCCTCGCTAATAAGCTAACTCTGAAAAATAATTAGTAATTTAGCATATGTCAAATATAAAATAAATGTTTATTTCCATAAACATAAAATTATAATAAATAATTTATATTGTTATATACGGTTATTTTTAATTAATACTAATTATTTTAAATACTATATTTTCATTTTAAAATAAGAGGAAATTATAATTTAAAAAAAATAAAATTAAGAAAAATTTCTAAAAAGTTTTATTAATGAATATTTCCAAAAAAAGTAACTATAATAATAATTTTAAAAATTATTCTCGTTAAAAGGGATTAATAACACTTCTTCCGGAAAAATAATAATACATATATAGAGAGATTTCTTTTGTAATATTTTTTTTAAGTAGAGAAAAAAATATAATCTTTATTTATGTTATATATTTTTTAATTATACGTTTTCTTTATTTTTTTAATATAAACATTAAGAAAAAAATATTTTTTTCAATTTTACTTTTTTTTAACTCTATCTTACATCAAATATTTATATTTTTAAATTTATATATATATATATATATTAAATTTAATAATAAAACATAGGAACACATAATAATAATAATAATAATAATAATAATAATAATATATTTTTGTTCATCTATTAAAAACATTTTTTTTATTAATTTTATTTTGCTAAAAGTTAAAAATTAATTATCTATATGATTATTCTAACTATTATAAATTTTAAGTACAAACAAAACTATATAAATTTAATAATAAAACCATGTTATCTTTCTTTGTTATTACATTTTACTTTTATTCTTGCTTCTTCAGTTCTGCTGCCTGCGCGAAACAAAACTTTGAGAAACGGAATCGCCCACTCTTGATCCGATTCCACCGTTATCGGATCTTTCTTCAGCCACCGTCTATCGCAGCACTTCGCCGTCACCGGTAAATCTCTTCAACAAATCATCCTCATATCTTCTTTTTCCTTCCTCAGTTTCCGGATCTGTTATAACTGAATTCATTCTATCGAATCTCATACATGCGGTGGTTCCGATGGATTAAGATTTTCACAGTTTTGTATCTATCTGAGCTAACTGGAAATTTGAGTATCATATAAATAAGTAAATTAATCGTGCATGTAGGTGTAGGTAGGTTATGAATGAAGTGGTGCTAAGAGCCTAAGATCTAGTGAAGCGTCATTCATAAGCGTCTAATTAGAAAAAGCAATGCACTTGCAATCGATAAATTACTTAATTGAAAATTAAGAAAACAAAAAACACTTATTCTTTTGGCTGTATTGTTGTTCAAACAGGTATGTGCATAATTGAATATTTGAATTTTCTGAGGATTTAATTTCTATCTACTTTTAGAGTAAAAGAAATTATCGTAAAATTCAACAATTACTATTTTTTAATGTAACTTTTGAAATGGAAAGGGGTAATATCTGAAGAGGTGTGCTTGCGCAGGAATTCTGAATGTTAATAATGACATTGTGAAGTGATGATGAATAGAACAGCTATCCAATAACATGGCATGAACTGTATATTCTCTTCTACACTCGAAGGTTAATCTAGCTTAAACGATACAAGGATGTTTTCTTTGTTTTATGGACTATGGAAGTACCTGTTCAGCAAGATGGAGCTTCATGTACTAATTTTGGGCATTGACAAGGCTGGAAAAACGGTAAATCATCTTTCAAGTGCCATATTTTTAACAAATTGCTGACCTTTGTTGTGCTCCTCTGATTTTCTGTATAACGCTTAAATTTAGACTTTACTGGAGAAGATGAAGACGGTCTACTCAAATATTGAAGGCATTCCTCCTGATCGAATTATTCCAACTGTGGGATTGAATATTGGTCGCATTGAAGTGGCCAATAGTAAACTTGTATTCTGGGACCTAGGAGGCCAGGTATGGAAATAAATAGGCAAATTTATATGTTTAAGTCCTATATTGAATGAACTTTTGGTGCAACCCAAGAGCTGCTTATTTACCATTCTTGAAGCTCAATAGCTATAATAATAACCGTCTATATAGTTCTTGAAGTGTAATTTTCTTGCTTCTTTATAATTTTTTAAATTGTGATTGGTGAAAGAACAAGTTACCGTGTTGCTTTTATAAATTCTCTTTGGCAAAGCTATCCTAATACTTTAACTGGTTTATATTTTTTTTTTCTGAAGTTAATGTTCACTATTTTCACTCTTAACAACTAATACATCACTGAAGGATATATATTAGAACCTTTACATGAACTATGCAATTTGGACCATCAATTTTACCCTCTCTTTTTAAGGCTTGAGTATATTTGTTAAATTTTGGTAATGCTAAAGGATATTAGAAATTGAAAATTTGATCTTGTATGCATGCACAACTGATTCAACTCTTCATTTTTAATTGTAAGCCTTTATGCTTAGGAGTGGAGAAAATGCGTAAATTGAATTATTGTAAAACTAAACTGAACTTTAAAAATGGTTCATCAAAATTGAACTGAAGTGTAAAATTTTTCAGATAAATTGAGCTAATTGCATTTAAGAATGAGTGAACTACTTTGAGTTGTTTTAGCTATTATCAGTGAATGAACATCTTATCATCAAACATATTTTTCAATTTCATAAGTTATAATTCAGTTTAATTAAGGAGCTTTATTGAGCAATTCAATTTTTAAAAACTAAACTAAAACCACAATTCAAGTAATTTTTGTTTCAAAAACAATTCAGTTTTTTTAATGTAATTCAATTTAGTTCAGTACCAATTTAGTTGAGTTAAATTTATTTTTTGACGGCCTATGTATGCTAGCAGGAATCGAATGTATCATTTCATACAAGGCACGTGCTTGCCCCATTTTATACTTTTTCTTTCCGCTAATTTTATTCCTTTTTATATCATTGTTTTTGTGTGTTGATGGGGAGGGTGAGTATATAAATATGTAATAAGATATTAATATAAGATCCCCTATTGTCAGCCTGGTCTTCGCACAATCTGGGAGAAATATTATGAAGAGGCACATGCTGTAATATTTGTGGTTGATGCTGCTTCTCCCTCACGCTTTGAAGATGCGAAATCAACTCTTGGTTAGTGAGATTTGATTTTAGTGTTAGTTGATAATTGTCTAAAAACTTCTTTAAGGTGTTGGCCTGCAATTGTGATAATTAATATTAGATATGATGATAACATTTAGTGCACTGATGATTTATAACTGGTTTTCCAGAGAAGGTGCTACGGCATGAGGATCTTCAAGGAGCCCCTCTATTGATATTAGCTAACAAGCAAGTGAGTGTGACTATTCTGTCATCCAATATTTATATAGCATTTCAAAGGTCCCTATGAACCTTCTTTTTTCTGACATGCAAGTCAACATACCCTCTTACATTCTTAGCAGAAATTCAGAGAGTAATATAGCACTATAGTATTCTATCTCATCCATCCTTCGAAGTTTCACCATTATTGTGTCCTAGTTCGTGTCATCCCCCTCCCCATGATGGCTGCTTGCTTGACATTATTGTGACTGCAGGATCTTCCTGAGGCAGTATCAGCTGAAGAGCTTGCTCGATATCTGGATTTGAAAAAGTTGGATGAAAGAGTTTACATGTTTGAAGCTGTGTCAGCATACGATGGGTGAGTAGTTGCATCAACTTTCTAATGCATATTCTAAGACTATTGTATCATTTCAATAAAGATGGAGATATCTGAAGTACATGTTCTTACACATTTTCTTTGAAGTGAAAATAACTGTTAGGCATATACTTACTGAAGCACATGCACTTATCTTGTGATTGGATCCTCATCCATATTATTTGGATGTGCGACGTAAGCCGTTATTACTTGCTTTCGCATGCATTTTAACCGAAAAGATTTTCTTTTAAAATGTTGCAGGATGGGGATTAGGGAAAGTACAGAGTGGTTGGTGGAAGTGATGGAGAGAAGCAAGAGGACTGAAACGTTAAGAGCAAGGGCCGGTGCAATGGGTCCAGGTCCCTAGAAGGGTCTTACATTAGACTGAAGTGATTTCTCTATTCCTTTACATAGTTTTTTTTTATCCAAAATGGATTATACATGATTAAAAGTCATTGAGCTGAAAATGTAAAAGAATAACTCGATGTTATATTAATCTGAGCCTTCAAATTTGATGCCTTGGTTTAATTTGTAATACAGCTGTTTCATGCTAGGCTCAGTCTCCGTATCTCTTACAACAATTTTTCTTCTGACATGCCTTATATAAGCAATCTATCAAGTGCTGGGCTGTGCTGGAGGGTTTTCTGCTTCTGCCTCCGTGCATTCTATTGTCAACTCTATATTGTAATTTGTACGGTTCGTATCTGAATGAATTTAATTTACTTTTCTATCTGTATCATTGTATAAACACTGTTCTGTCATATAGATCTAGGTAGTAATTTGGTATTCGGAAGATATATGGTACAGTATGCAAAGGATACCTGGGGAATATCTTTTATGGGAGGAGTGTGATTGGGGAGGAACTAGGTTTATTTCCATGTGACCCGTGCCAGAGGAAAATTATGTTTAAGTTTGGTTTAACTCCGGAAAAAGGAATAACAACGAGGAAATAAAGAAAAATGCAGGAAACAAACAAAACAAAACTCTTAGGAATTGAATACCCATCAGAAAACAGAGCGCACCTAGAGCAGTCGGAAAGATCTTAATCTTTTCGTCATGCGAAGTCTTTCCTTCTATCTGAATGTGTAAACTTAACTATCTATCCTTTAGGACAATAGAGTTTCTGTCATCGTTAGGAATTGCGCAAATTAAACAATTTAGGTTGAATTTTTTGCAATTCCATTAAGTCAAACTTTATGTTTGGATGAAAAATGAGAGGAATTTTTAAATTTTAATGCACAAATAATTCTTAAGGTAATGGAGTCTGCATGTAACTTATGGAGAAACCCAGTTATCCGGGCGAGCCAGTGACTCAAGTCCCATCATGCTTGCTATTGACACTACCAAACATCAGTTTGTTTGGTTTTATATCATTTCATAATACGTGTATTCTCCAGCGAAAAACGAAGGCATAAAACTGATTTGTACTCAGATTTCCAAATTTAAACCGTGGGGTGACAAACCAAAACTCAATTAAAACAATTAGTCTATTTTCTTGAATCTGAATCAGTCTCAATCATACCTTCATGGTATTGGACATATAAGTTATTTTACAAACTCTCTTTAGGAGAGAATAATTAGAAAAATTAATTTATGCATAAATTAATTTGCAAAAGCTTTATTATTCATTATTTTTTAATTTATACATAAGTTAATTTTAATTTGTAAAGAAGTCAATTCATTTTTTTCTCCAAAAATAAGAAATTATAGAAAAGTTCTTTCAAATATATCTGATATTTTAAACTCTAAAAAAAATAGTATTGTTTGTTTTTTGGTAAATTCTATCAAGAAGCTATTGGATGAGTTTCACCATGATTTTCGATAAAAACCAATGATGATTTTGTTAGTGAAAGATGACATCATGTTGAAAAATAGATCATATTCTATTTAAGACAAGTAATTACGTGGTTAGTATTTCCTTCAACAATCTATTAATATTTTGGTTGGATTAGGTGATAAAAAGTGAAAAAGTAGCAAAGAAAAAAGAAAGGAAAAGAAAAAGTCAAAACTAGTATAAAATGATATTATTTAGATTATAAAATAAAAAAATTAGTGAAAAATAACATAAATATATTTATTATTTTTAATTATTTTATTAATTTAATATTATATTTAAATTATTAAAAAAATTTAATACAATCGTGATATTCAAATATAATCAATTATATTTGATTTAATGCGTTTTTCTTTTTACAATTGTAATATTACACTTTCTTGTTTTTTGGAAGAAAGTTTTTTACTTTGAATGTTGCGCATTTTTTTTGTCTGAAAAAATAAATAAAAAATTGTTGTCTTACATATTTTCTGCATTTTCCATCTTTCTTTATTTATTCCATGAGCTAAATAAGCACTAAATAATAAAAGAAATTCTTACAATTTTGAGTTATAACTTTTAACATGTTATAGACAGGAGACTAATTTGTTTAAACCTAAAATAGGAGTTTATAAAATAAATAATTAAAAAAACTTATTTAAGAATTAATTTATTTGCTTATTATGTTGAAAATTGATTAAGAATAGAAAAACACATGAAAAAAAATCTACTTATTTTATTAAAAAGGGCTTTTCTAAACAATAAGCACCGGCCAATATTGTTAGCATTGATGTTAAAATTTACTCGTTTGAAAAAAAAAAAAAAAGAAAATTTGGCAACCTTGAATGTCAATATTCCATGCCATACAAAACATAACTCACATAATGTATGTATGGCCTTTGATAGTCAGCGAAAAGAAACCTGACCCGTTTGGGTCAATCCACATGTATCTTGAAGCTTTAGAGAGGTAGAAGTAGATCTCTTTATTTCCTCATCACAGTTTACGACTTCGCAAAAAAAACAATCAATGTCTAAATTAAGGAAAATAAATTTGAGTCTTGCATAATAACATTGTCCTAGAGAACACACATGTACCTTCTCTGATCTGCATATTACCTGCTTGCACGCGCAGTCAGAGATTAAAAATCAAAATAAAATGTTAAACTAATTTCAATATACTTTGTGAATAACATTATTGACTCCAAGTTGATCTTGTGTTATAACCAATTCAACGTGAAGTGTGTTAAAGAACAACATATTCAAAATCCTGAACAAGTAAGGCTCATGAGTGGCTTCTAATATATCTTAAAGAAAGTGCATACAGAAAATCTTACACGTTTTCAGTTCACTGCAATCAATAACACCCAACAAAGGAAAGCAAGCAGTGAAAAATGCTATTTCCTACCCATGACAAATTAAACTAGTGATTTCATGAAGCAAGAATACAGTCAAATTCAGCAGAAATCTGGCCTATTTCTCTTGAGAACTGAAATGCAACCTCTCTGATGATCCCTTAAGATCCTGATCTCAGAAGAATCCCTCAAATCCTCCAGACTAATATACTGCTGTTTAACCATCCTCAAGGAATCACCCCCTTTGTCCTGAATCCAAACATAAGGGTGACAAGTTTCATCATAGTAATAAAGCAAGCTCTTCAATCCCCCACCATCATTGCCACTCTTACCAGGCATATAAGCCTTGTATATGCGTTTACTTCTCAGTCTCTTACAAGACCCTGGCTTCAAAGTGTGAACTTTCTTCAGTAGTGATCCCACCCTTATCTGCAGCTCCACTGGTCGATCACTTAAGTTCCAGATCCTTGTCCCTAATCCATAAGCTTGAGTGTGGTCATAGCAGCTATCAAAGCAACCTCCAAGACACACAAGACTTAAACCTCTCATTTTCCCCATCAGAGTTTCCAACTTCTTCTTAGTCATCTCAAGCTCCAACCAAGTCCCAACACAAGTTTCTGTGCTATAGGACATCCATCGCTATGGTAGAATATTACTTATCTCCTCCATGAAGGAAATGGTAGGGTCCAACAAACCCCCAAATTCAACACAAGAAGACAGTGGGAAAGTTTACTTGCACTGACAAAATTTAAAAATTCCAAGAAGATGGATTTTCCTTTGATTCTTGGGGTAGAAAAAAGAGGGTATTGCCACCCATACAAGGCATTCACAGGCATCATATGATGTTGCCTTACCCTTCATCATAAGGGGTGTCCTTTATTTTAGTTGAGCTTCTAGACAAATAACCAGCTCTTCTAATTTGTTTGGACTTCACTTCTTAGTCAGTGGAACATGTGACATGGGAATGACCAAACATTCGTGTTTTTTCTTAATTTTACAAATACTGATTTATAAAATACATAATAATAAAAATATCCCTTACAACAAGTCTTATCGTAATCTAATAACAAGCATGGCATTTCTTATATTTTTTTTTATACATATTTCTTTTCCGAGATTATTATGTAAACATGGATACGGCAACTTTGATTCAACGTAGGTTAATCTATTGTACAGGATTCAACTCTTATTCGTAAATAACTGCATTAGAATTACCTAAAGTCTCATCGCAAAACTATTCCCACACGTAAGAACCGATCTCTTTTATCACCTTCATTTTTAATTGAACTATTTTTATTAGAATTCAAATATGAGGGGAATGTTACTTAACTCTAATCTAGGTTAAAAGATTTTGACTAATGATCCATGAATAAATATATTTATTTTGTTTCTCATGTCATAATTATATAATAGCTTTATATGATTAAAATGGTTTACCCTTCCTTTTAAAACATTTTGATTTTATTTTATTTTTTAGCTTTTAAAATTATTTTTTAATTTTTTAAATCAGTATTTTATTTTATATTTCTAATTTAAAAAGTATTTTCGGTAAAAAGTCTAACATCAATTATACCAAAAAAGAACTGAAAAATTATTTCAATAACTTCATAATTTCATCATAATGAAGCTATATTTTATAATGCAGTTATTCATTTAGATATTATCTTTAAACTAAAAATAAAGAAAATATTTTTATTAATTTTAATTTTTAAAAATTAAAAACTAAAAATTAATCTTAAAAACAATAAATAAACAACTCATTTGTCTCATTGGTTTTATTAATGTACATTACATATCTGTGTTACAATTTCTTGACTATGCTAAAAAAATTGACTATATTAGAACAACTTTTATTATTATACATGGAGACCTATTTGAATTTTAATTTTATATATGCTTAAAAAAAACTCTTTAGTTCAATTTGGACATATGAATACATTTTAACCAATTGCAGATATTTATTTAATTTATATAATAAGACAGAGGATACGACAAAGGGTTTCTTTGTCCTTTTCCCTCTTTATAATAATTCTGTTTTCTTTTTTTCTTTCTTTTTTTGGCATTTACCGTTTGGAATTTTTATCGGCTGCGCTGAATATATTCGCTTCGGCTCGTGGTTTCCATTTTAAATAGTTTTAATTAAAAAAGAAATACAGTCACAAGTGATGCGTGCATCAGTTAAAAAAACATAATATGTCCTACAATTAATAACAGCATAATATACAATATTATATAATACAAACTGGTAAAAAAAAATCATATCAAGGTAGTTTCCCAAAATTTAATAAATAGACTAAAAATATATGTGCTGAGATAATTTTTTAACTTATTATTGTAATTTTTCATATTTGAATTAACTTTTTTTTTCTCCACATGAATTATTTTATATCTTAATAAATTATTACGATGAAAAATGTCATTTTATACCTTAATTTCAATTTCTTTTTCAATTTTTACTTCAATATACACAATTGTTCTGTATTTACAAATATAATTTTTAATACTCATGAAAGTAAGGATCAAATACAAAATCGCAAAAGGATTTGATTCCCTTCCACTTGGGAAAAGCGAGACGTGGGGGCACCGATAGAAGCCAAACTGTAAATACACACGTAGTTGCTGCCATTGCGATCAAGGACATTTCAAAACTAACTTATTTCCAGACAAGACCAAGTTCAAAAAAATTATTTGATAAGATTTCATCTGCTTGAGATTAAAATATATATATATATATATATATATATATATATATATATATATATATATACAATTTGAACGGAATGTTTAAAATAATTATTGAAATTTGCAAAAGAAATTGAACGGAATATCATGTTGAGTATCATCATATAACGTTAAAATGAAAAGTATAAAATAATAAAGAGAATAATGAGGAACGGTTCATAGCAATAATTTTTCTGGTGTTAAACAAATGCATAGTCAATAATGTCATCTTGGTTGTAGGATTAATCACTATGTATCTAAATTTGAAACTGTACAAATCGGAAATAAATAGAAGCAGGCAGCTACCTCTATGCTTTAAATAAAAAAGCATATAGCCTTTAGAGGGTAGGATGGAAAAAGAATTTACACAAAGGAATTTTACTTTTCATGTTCTGCAGAATCTATCTTAATTACGAGAGGTTGGTTGAGATCTGGTGATGGTTCAGCAACAATTGGTAACTCTGGCAAGATAGTAATATCATCAATATCTTCGTTTTCAGCCAAGGCTTTATCTAGGGCAGATTTGGCAACTTTAGTGACACATATCATCAGAATCACTGCACATAACCCAAAATAACAGGTTATTAAAAAAAAAAAAAAGAATTGAAATCTTTTTCTCATCAATACAATTATTGCAGCATGAAATGATTTGCAATGTCCAACCACGTACATCCTCGCAATTCAATTATTCAACCTTAGTCCTCTTCCATGATCAAAGAATTTATTATCATCATTATCTACAACTATAGTATATAAAACTGCTGCTATCAACTGTTACTTAGTGCAACACATTATGATTTAATTCAAAACGACAAGCATGCAAATTACAAATAATAAATAATAAAACTTGAAGTGAAAAACTTGACTCGTGACAGAAGTAACATCACATGAAGAGTAGCTAAACCCAAAACAATTCAGTATAAAATCATGACAATTTAAGATCGCCTAGTTATACATTTTTTTGAGAGGCAAAATTAGTACCTCCTCTATTTGTCTATTAAGGTAATTTTTCTTCCTGCCATTACCCAAATGCAAGAAAGAAACCTGGGAAACAGCCCATGTGTGTCTAAATACCCATTTGCTACCTGGCAGCCACTACACTGGTGGCAGACAAAGCTACCCAACCTTCCCATTTAAAGAATATACCACCAAAACAAGAGGAAAGAAAAACTTCGTAAGGCTTGTCATTTAAATGTTCATTGCAGATGAAAAATTAAATATGAAATGAGATGAATTGGTCCATCGCATTTACATTATGGGTTGCAGGACGTAGTTGAAGCACGGCACAAGTAACTAGTAACTTCTCATTCTATATTTATAAGCAGGTCTGTTACTGTCAGCAAATAAAATATAATATATTTCCTAGATATAAACTATACTTGTGGAATGTAACTTACCAGATATCACAAGACCAAGAACAATAAAAGCCTGCATCCACAACAGAGAAATGTGTATTATATATATATTTATAATGAAGATGATAATAGATAAACACATATTTTATTCACACTCAAGAAAATTGAAAGATTGCACTTCCATTCTCCAAGGCATTTTAATTATTCATCAAGGTAAACGATAAAAGAAATCTAACAAGTACTTGAAAGGCTTGTTAGTATAAATAATAGAGGATAGCATCTCTTACCCAACGAGTCTTGGAGAACTCGCCCCAACCATGTGTCACATCGGAAAGATCTTTTAGAGTTGTTCCAACATATACCAGTGCCAATGTTATTGGCTGCGACAACAACAGTCAGATATTAACATTGACATTGGCATGCTATCTAATCATAGATAGTAATATCTAACACCAGAACAGATACAATAATACATTAATAGCGGAGGAAAATTTATAACAATGACAGCAAGAAAATCAGTAAGGCTATGCATCTTGTTAATAGAAACCTTAAAGAAATATTTTAGCAATGGAGAGCGACTACTAGAAGAAATTCTAATATTAAACAATTTTGAAAATCATAAAGCACAATAGAAATTTCTTACCAACTAACTCCTGAACATATATAGTTAATTGTGGGAAAAGAACATACCATCATTCCTAACCAGGAAGCCAGCATGTATTCCCCTACCGAAACAGGAGTCACGGACAAGAGATAATTTAACATGTTAAATGGTAGTAGTGGAACAAGCCGAAGGAGTATTACAATCTGTATGGATAGTCAGGAAATTAAAAGTCAGATATAAACAAAACAGAAAAGAATACCAAGTCAGACATGCAAACAAAATTAAGCAAAGAAATATCACAATGATAGACTTCCTAAAACCTACCACAAACACACCATTGGTAAATTAACAGGGATAGATAACACTTAAAAAGTTTCTTATCAAATAACAAATAGTCTAACCCACGAGGTAAATAACTAGACAAGACAGGTTGGTTAATGTTGTTTCAATATATATGTTATTGTTTTCCTCCAAAAGGATCATTTTCACTGATACATTTATAGTTCTACTAGTGATAATCTTAAAAACAAGATCAATAACAAGAGTAATATAACTAAAACAAGGAAAGGGAATACTATTCTGAGCATTGACCTCATAGGAAACTAGAAGGTGAGTACACAGAGCACATTGAACACTGCACATTAGCTGTTGCCACTAAAGAAGAGACAACCACCTTACAGATGATCTCTGGTTTAATGACCCTTATTAACATTAACGGTTGAAAGTCCCACATCGCCTACCTCATATCATTTGGTATGGTTTAAATACATGTTAGACTACTCCACATATTGCCAATTGGTTTTATGTTAGAACCTTAATGTGGTATCAGAGCCAAAGCCTAACATCTTTCCGGTTATTGTCATGGGCCAAAAAGTTGCCCTTTAGTTGGGTCAAAAGTACCCTTTGCCTGGTCCGGCGTGCTTCGTTGGAGGGGGTGTATTGAAAGTCCCACATCGCCTACCTCATATCATTTGGTATGGTTTAAATACATGTTAGACTACTCCACATATTGTCAATTAGTTTTATGTTGGAACCTTAACATTAACCAACATACCAAGATGATCTACCATTAGAAAGTATACTCGCTCATTTTAACAGGTAATCGAAGTGTATGATGTTTGATGTATCAATGATCCACAAGCTGATCCAACTCCATTTAGTGGGAGGTTTGGTACGTAGGTACTTTTTAGAATTAACAGGTGATCAAACCCAATACTACTTCAATACCTCAAAATTACTGATATTTTAAAGCATTCATGTTTCATAATTTCGTGAACCCACTCATTTCACCAAAAGTTGCGAGTTTGAACATAAGAAACGCAAAAAAAAAAAGGTAAAAAAAGAAAAAGGGTAATAATAGAAAGCCAACAGCAAAAGAATTAAGAATTTCAAAGCAGTATTGAAAAATATGAAGTCTACAAACCTTAAAGCCTGATCTTCGAATCGCAATTGCCACCGATCTGAATTGTGGATAATCCTTTAACCTAGAAACAACAAATGACCTCCCAATCTGTCAAAATTTACAAAGATATGGGTAAGTAACCTCATAGGATACAAATAATTATACCATTATATGGAAATACAGATCAAGGCCAATTAAAATGCGAATGACATTGCAAAAATCATGTGCACATGAAGACAGAACACCTTATATTAATAAAGAAATTGCAAGATTTTGATAACTACTTATAAATGCTAAACTTGAAAAACTTACTGTTCTACCAAGAAGAAATGCAGCTCCCGCACCAATAGTTGCACCTATAGAATCAGCAACAAAACCGACTGGAAGCCCAAAAAGATAACCACCACCAAGCTGAAAAAAAGACATTAGGCAATGTGTATCAACAAATTTGATTTTCCAACCAATTTATCTTCTTCTATACCAGGTATTGTAATGGAGATCTAAAACAACACTATATAGTACAGATGAAATGGACAGAAAATAGAGAGAAGAGATAGGAAATGATGCATGTTTGGTAGTAGAGAAATAGGTGAGGAGAGAGATGATAAAGTATAGAATAGTCACTTTTTTCCTCTCATTTTTCTATTTCTCGTTTCAACTTCTTTATTTCTCATAAACCAAACACCTCTATTTCTCACTTATTTCCATTCACTTTATTTCTCTCTTCTTTATTTCCATCTGTTCTATGTTTCATCTACTTCTTTCCTTTCTAGTTCCTACCAAACACACTGTATCATGAAATAGAAGAGGGAAGAAAATAAAGATTGCAGAACAAACATCATAAGAAAGAAGAAAAAACACAAAAGACCTATATACGAAATGACAAGTGCAAGTTCTTGCGAATCATTGTCGCATGCTTCCTTTACCCTGAATTATCAATCACAGAGCCTTTCCAACCAATTAGTATAGATATATCAGATATTCACCTTACAGTTAAAAGCTGATATTAATAAACCTTTTCAAAAATTTATACAGGTGGCATTAGGCATGGCATTTTTTACCTACATTCAGGGATCCTTGCATGGACTACCACATTGGCTTTTGGTGCTGTTAAGATGTCCTACATTGGCTAAGAGTGGCAGATACTCCTTGTAAGACTTTGATAATCCTCCACCTTTAAGCTAGCTTTGGGAGTGAGCTGGGCATGGCTACTGTTTATATGGTATTCAAGCTTAACCAGTCTTAATGTAGGGCCCGTTTGCAGATGTTCATTCATGCAAACTTCACAAACCAAATGTCTAATCCCAGTGTAAGAGAGGAGGATCAAGGGGGTCAGATTTGCTGTCAATCTTTGCAAGGGAAATTTTTAAACTAAAGAAATCCTCTACCTTCGAGTTAGCTTTTTAGTCAGACTAAATCCATTTCTAATGGGCCTATTCTAGGATGTTTTCATGCGGGGAATGGGACAAGGGTAAGAATAACCTTAAGGCAGATTTAGGACAGATATGCCCACAAATTTCCTACCACTAATAAATTATGAAACTATACTTACCACATTTATTCGTAACTGTAAGTGCCATATTAGTCGAGTATGTTTTTAGCCCTGTATATTTTTTTCAAACTTGCCTTTGATCCTTGTACTATCAAATTGATGAATTCAATCCACCAACTTCTGAAAATGTGATTATAATTATTCTTCATAGCTAAATTTAATATTTAGTGGTGTTCTTTTACCCTCACAAAGTAGATAGAATGACTACATCTACATTTATATAATATGTGATTTTAGGCCTTCTTTACCTAATTTTAACATTTAGTAACAGTTTGTTACCGTTACAAAGTTGATAGAAAGACTGAATTCACATGTTTTTTAATGTTAGAAGACTAATTAAAAGTACAAGGACCAAAACCAAGTCTAACAAAAAGTACAGGACCAAAAACATATTTAATCCTTACTTAATATTATTACCTGAGATTTGCTGACATATATTTGTTTTTTAAAAGGAGTACCTAAGGAAGTTCTACAATGATTCTCTTGAGATTTGCTATCATATACTTATTTTTTCAAAAGGAGTTCGTAAGGAATTTTCTAACCATGATTGTCTTAAAATACATCCAAGGTATTTAGTTTGCAAATGAACTCCTAAAAAATGTGAGTTTCACTTAACAAATGCTTGTGGGTTTGCTAATGAACACCCACTTATTTTCTTGGACAACATTAGTAAGCAATAACTTTGATTTTCCTAAAATACATCCAATGCGTAGCTTGGTAACGTATTCTTTCTTAAAAGAGTATGTTAGCAAATTGCATTATAATTTATAATAAAGACTAAACATATCTTGACTCTTAACCCTAACTCAAATTCAATCAACAACACTAGCTTCCCAAATAGCCTCCCCAAACTTTTCTTATGTTCTTCAAACCCTAAATCCCTTCTACCTATATATTGTTGCCTTCATCCAGCTGCTGTGCTACCATCAAAGCTCAACCAGTACCCCATAATGATTGGAATTTAACCAACACCATAATATAACTTTACATAGAAATGGAGACGGGCCTCTTAGTGAAAAAGGAGCAATAAGACGAAGTAGTGGGGACAAAGAATGGGAAGTACTCCCTGCAGCAGCTTAACATAGATACAGGTAACATCCCTCCTAAGTAGTAACATAACTATACGTACAAATTTAAAATTGCACAAACGCGATCACACTAATCACAAATACCTAACAATTTTAGTAAAAATTCAGGAAAGTATATTACAGGTACATGAGAATATGGCAAATGCTAACTTATACCCTCAGGTTAAAGATTAAAGAACTAAGAGTGGAATTTTTTAATCCTTATTAGAACGCATTCTCTTATGATTTCATTCAAAAAGGAATCTCCTTTTAATTCCTAATGGCACTGGCTAGCAAGATTCATTATTAGCATGTACAAGAAATTAAAACGTTTTGCAAGAAGTGGGAGGGTAGGAACGTCTCTTACAGTAAGCACGGAAGCTGGAACTGCCAAGACAGTCAAAGGAATGTAAGCAACAGCCCTGAAAATCATCAAACAAAATCAGAAATGATAATCAATCATTTCCACTAAGACGGTGGGTGAGAGTAAATAAATTTAGGGATAAAGAAAACAAAAGAAGAAGGGCGCACAGAACGAGTGGCCCCCACGGCCCGAGATCGTGATCGACCCATAATAAGAAGTCCTTCATCATCTGCAGAGACGAAATGAAAAATGATTATTGAAGTCGCGTTGACGATTTGGAATGAATTCGGAACAGAAGAAAGAAGAGAGAAGGAAAGGGGAAACCTTCTCGATTGGGAGAGTGAAGCATGCGGTGATGACGGCGGCCAGGAGGAGGAGGAGGATGGTGATCCTGAGGGCGGAAGCCCAGGAGAAAGACATGGTTAAGCGGCGACGCCAAGGCCTGCACTCCTCCTCCTCGTCTTGCAAATCAGGGGAAGCTTGCTTCGACGAAGACCGAGCCCTCAATCCCACGAGATTTGCCAGATTTATTCTATTGGTTCTCTCTCTCTCTCACTGCCACCTCCACCAACTTTAGACCATCAAAGCACCGATTCACATTCACCTTTCTTTCTTTCGCCAATTCTATTATTGTATCTTTTTTCTGTGGAATACGAACGAAAACAAGTGTGGGTTGTTCGCAACAAAATTTAGGATTACAATGAAAGAGAAAAAGGACGGTGGGGAGGCTAACATCGGAAGTTTTCTTGGCTGGGTAGTTTCGTCAATTCACACACACCCCATGCGTTTACTCTACTTCTCCTTGTGGCGTGTGTGACTGTCTGTGCGCGCTTTATAAGCATTGCAATAACCGACACCAGTATGTGTGGGTGTGTTTTGCGCCTTTAAGCAATGAATAATACTCTGAATTATGCTGTCCTTAAATTTACTGTAAAAATAACTAATAAAGTTATTATTTTTCTTTTTAATTTTTATAAAGAAAATATTTAATTAAAAAAAATCTTAATTAAAAAAAAAAGTGGTTTCTCAATGACAAAAAATTCAGTTGAAAAATAAGCAAAAATATGAAGAAACCCTTACTGTTCACTGTTACAATTGGCATTTACCTAAACTAACCTTACCTTTCAGGATAAAAATAGAAAGTGAGAGGACTCATCAGTTTTGCTTCTTTCAACACAGTTATTTTCTTCCTCTTTACCCGCCACCAAGCTCCACCTCTTTGGATATAGGTTTTGTTTGTTTGTGATTTAAAGACTAACTATTAGAAGTAATTTATTTTAAAGTAATAATTATATAGACTTTGTATTTAAAAAAAAATATATTTCTTCCACTGTATCTGATTTTTTATAATTCAAAACAAATGCATGTTTTTTTCAAAATTTTCTTTAAAATAAATTTACTCAAACATTTTTCATATATGTCCTTTTCATTTTCTTGTTTTCTATTTTTTTTTCTCCATTAAAAAACGTGCTTGTAGTAAAGTTGTTTTTCACCATCAATCAAATAAAAATATTTACAAAAAATTGTTGTTTTTATGGTGGGGAATTGAGTAGGAGGATATTGGTAAAATAATCAAAAGTATTATAGAGAAAAAAATCACAATTTATTTTGAACAATTCTAAATTGTAAAGAAAAAAAATCATTTTTTTAATCATAATTACTAAATTATGCATTCCTCAAAGTATTTTTTTTAATTGGTAACAAATAAATCTTATTTAAGAATTTTTTTGTCCAATAGTAACATGTCATATAATTGCTTACCAGTAAATGTTAATTGTTGGGATAAAAATATTTGATTAGCTAAACTATAAGTTTGTATAACGGTACAAAATATTGTATAATCATAACTTTCTTTATTTAGTCCCGATTTGTTGGAGTAAAATACTACAAGATCATAGTATCTGTGTAAAAAAATAATATGAATAAAAATTATAGAATGAATTCTATGTTTTTCAATTTGGTATCGGAGCTTATAATTTTTTTTCTTTTTCTTTTTAAATCCTTGGAGATCTTAACTGGAAAGATGACAGAAAAACTAATTTCAATGGTTGTTCAATCTGAAAGTGTCTTCAACGTAGACATTATCCTAAATGAATTCAATTATGACGTAAGGTCACAACTAATGGAGATGCAAATTGCAAAGAGGAAAAAATTGTCCTACATTGGTGGGAAGGTAAAGCCTCCAACAGAGAATGATGAGTGATATGAAAAATGATATGCTGAAAACCAAAAAGTGAAAAGATGGTTATTGATGTCCATGAAACCAAAAATAATGAAAAAGTATCTTCGCTTACCCACTGCCCTTGATATTTGGAATGTTTTGTCAAAAACATTTTATGATGGAAGTGATGAGTTGTAGGTGTTTGCCCTGAATCAAAGGGCATTCACTGCAAAACAAAATAATAGAACCTTAACTGAATATTATGGGAAGTTGGACCATCGTGACAAGGTAGTCATGAAGGACCCTGATGATGTGAAGTCATATCAGAAGTCCATTGAAAGATTAAGGCTGCATATATTCCTTGCTGGACTGGATGATGATTTTGATCAAGTTCGTGGAGAAATCTTGCGCAAGGAAGTGACACCTGATTTAGAATAATGTTATGCTGACAAAGAAGCAACCAGCAAATCATCACAACAAATCGAAGCAATCAAAAGATTTTGAAAAATGTAACTACAAGTATACTCAGTGTAATAAGGATGGACACACCAAGGAACGATGTTATGAAATCATAGGATACCCCGAGTGGTGGGATCACAGTCGAGCATCGAAGAAGAATTCAAAAAGAAATCCAAATGTTGTTGCTGTAATTGTCATTGACAAAGAGGACGTCAAAGGTATGATGTTTGCTATGTTGAACATTCAAGGACTTGATGTTGCAAATAATGATCATGAAGAATGTTGATTTTGATGATGATCCAAGAGCTTAAAGACTTAGAGTATTGAAGATTGAAGATTGATGATTTCTGTATTGTAATAACTCTGTTTTAGTTTGATTAAGTCTGTAATTATAGAGTCTAAGATAGCCGGTACATAGTCTGTAACTTAGAAGCTTCAAAAAGCCCAAATATATCATCCAGGCTCGGCTTTAATCGATTATATAGGGAAATAATCGATTAAAACAGTGAGAAAACCATTTTCAGCATATACTCACTGTTTTAATCGATTAAAACATCAAAATAATCGATTAAATAGGTCAAATAATCGATTAAAACTTCAAATAATCGATTAAACCAGAGAGGATTGGGTTCCGACGTATTTGGTTCTGTTTTAATCGATTAAAACTCCATTTAATCGATTATTTCAACTGCTTTCGATTTTAAACATCAAACAAACCCTATTTTCGAAAACCCAATTACCAAGAACCCTAGTTTCGAAATCCCCAATTCCTAAACCCTAATTTCCCTACTTAAACTCGCTTTGGCACTCGTAAAAAAAGAACAACTCTTTCCATACAAAAGTTAAGTGTCGTGAGTGCCGTAGAACTCGTTTGTTGCAAGGAAAGGGGGCTTTTGGAACCTGGTGTGAGGCTAGAAGCGATAAGAATCACTAAGTGGAGTTCTTAGTGGATTGTGTGTCAGTGCCGTCTCTAGGGAAAGTCGTTCTTCATCTCTTGTGGATTTCAAGAGAGGTGTTGTCTTTACTTTATCTCTTTGATTTGTAATCTGTTTTTAACAATTTGTTCTTAGTGACAGCGTTAATCCTCTTTTGAGTGATTAGCAACTCGGACGTAGGGTCTTTTGATCCGAACCAAGTATAAACCTACTGTGTAATCTTCTCTACTCTTCTCTATTTACATTTACGCAGTTTTTAATCGGTAAAATTTGGGGAAAATTTTGAAAACCTAATTTTCATTAAGAAACCAATTCACCCCCCTCTTGGTTTTTGTCCGACCACGCGAACATTCGCCGCGCGATTCTAACAAGTGGTATCGAGCTTGCTTTGATAGTCATTCAAACTTTTTGAAAATGGCCGGACAAAATCAAACTTTTGCCGAAGGTGCGTTTATCAACGGACCCCCACTTTTTGCGGGTCAAAATTATCCTTTTTGGAAAGTACGTATGCAAATATTTTTAGAGTCTCGTTGATAGAGGCGTTTGGGACGCAATTTTAAACTGGTCCATTTGTTCCTAAAATTACGGAGAACGGTGTTGACGTTCTTAAACCTTTTGATAGATGGACTCGCGATGAAAGTCGAAAAGCACAATTTGATGTTAGGGCTAGAAACATTATTTCATCTCGCTTCTAACCCTTGATGAGTTTTATAGAATTTCAGCTTGTAAAAGTGCACAGGAAATGTGGGAAATGCTAAGGGTGACCCACGAAGGAACCGACGACGTCAAAAGAGCACGTAAAAATTCTTTAATCCAAGAGTACGAAATGTTCCGGATGCAACCCTGCGAAACGATTTTCGACGTTCGTAAACGCTTTCACTCATATTGTGAATCATCTCACCGGATTAGGTAAAGTATTTGATGTTGATGAATTAAATGTAAAAATTTTGAAATCTCTCGGATAGGAAATGGCAACCAAAGGTGACTGGCCATCTCGGAGTCACAAAATCTTGCCACTATGTCTATGGCGGCATTATTTGGAAAGCTTAGGGAGCATGAACTTGACCTTGGAAGACTAAATGAGGAAGAGGGTCAATACCAAAAGAAGAATCTAGCTTTCAAGACCGAGATTTCAAAAAGCAAAAATAAGAAAGAAGAAGAAGAAGACTCGAAATTGATGAAGAAGAGATGAGTCTTTTTATAAAGAAGTTCACCAAGATGATGAAAGCAAAAGGAAGACATCCTTTCAAAGGTAAGGGAAAGGTAAAAGAAAATTCTTCCATTAATATAAAATGTTTTGGTTGTGGTGAAGCAGGGCATATAAAGACCGAATGCCCAAACAAGAAAAATGATGAACACAAGGGCAAAAAGCAATTCAAGAAGAAAGCATATATTGCTTGGGATGATAGTGATTCAAATTCAGAATCAAGCGACTCTGAAATAGAAGCAAACAATTGCTTGATGGCAAATGACAACAATTCTTCGGATTTTGAGGTTAGTGATTCCGATTCATCCTCTAGTGAAGAAAATGACCATGATGAATTGCAAAATGCTTATAATGAGTTATTTACTGCATTTATGGATATGAAAAAGGAATATAAAGTTGTAAAGAAGAATCTAAGAAAATCCGAAAAGGAAAATGAGTCCTTAAAATTGAAAATTGCATGTTTAGAAGAAAAGGAGGTAGCTAATACGAAAATTATATGCTTAGATGAAGATAAGGACTTAGCATGTGCAAATTGTAAAGAGCATGAATATGACATAGATATTCTTAACCATTTGCTTGACAAAGCCGAAAAAGAAATTGATGATCTTAAGAAGAATGAAATGGTATTTGCTCAAAATAATGTAAATCATAGAGTTTCTTTGAAAAAGAGTAAAACTAAAAAGAAAAGAGTATGGGTAGAAAAAGGAACTAGAGCATGTCATGTTAATAATGTATCTTGTTCTAAAACTACTTCAAATGCATGCTTCTATTGTATGAAACAAGGTCACACTTCAAATAGATGTAAAATTAAGCATTTTGGAGTTCCTAAAGGAAAATATGTTTGGGTTCCTATAGTTAAATGAATTGTTTGTCTCTTTTATTTATTCAAAGAAAATGAATCATTTAAGTATGTTTTAAACAGTAATGATTGGTAAAAACATTTTATCTTTTCTATTGCATGAAGGTTCTTCACTTAAAGATTTTTGCGAAAAGCCTCTAAAATTGTTTTAAACAACCTAAA